ATATGCTAATTTTTTGGGACAGGCATTTTGGGTTTTCATGAGCTGTATGCCATAATCATCAGTATTAAAACAATTAAAGACCTGAAATATTTCAGTTGGTGTGCAATGAATCTGAAATATATGAAAGTTTCATTTTTATCATTACATTATGGAAAATAATGACCTTTATCACAATATGCTAATTTTTTGAGAAGGACCTGTACACATGCATATATATATATAAATAATGAATAAATATAAAGGCATTTTAAACCTTTCCCACACTCCTTTAGTATTTTAAACAATGTTTCTATACTCTAAACACTTTAAAAGAGCACAGAATGTCATGATTTCAGCTCTCTGCTTCCGGCTGCTTTCTGCCACCTGCCAGCGCTCTCGGCCAGGCCCACTTCTCCACTGCAGAGCAGACATCCTAATATGCTGTAGGAGAAAGCTTATCCTGCAGTGTGGGCTGCACACAGGTGCAGCAGGTGCTAAATAATTTATTTTAAATAAAAATTCCATGCCAATTGTGCAGCTCATCCATCAATCGGCTAATCGTGTGTCATGTCCAATCTTACTTTGAAAAACCGTGATAGAGCGAGTCCGCGAAAAATGAACCACCAATTAGCGAGGGACTACTGTAATCCAAAATGCTGCTGCCAGAGTCCTACTAAATGGTAGTTAGTAGGAGAGATCATATCTCTCCAGTTTTAGCTTCTCCACTTTGGCTACCTGTCAAATTCAGAATCAAATTCAAAATCTTACTTCAACCTACAAAGCCCTCAACAACCTAGCTCCATCTTATATTACAGATCTTATTGTTCCATATTTTCCTAACAGAGTCCTTCGCTTTCAGACTGAAGGCTTACTTGTGGTTCCTAGAGTTTGAAAAAGCAGAATGGGAGGAAGATCTTTCAGTTATCAGGCTCCTCTCTTGTGGAACCAACTTCTAATTTCTGTCCATGAGGCTGACACATTATCCAGTTTTAAGACTGGGCTTAAGACTTTCCTTTTTGATAAATCCTATAATTAGGGTTAGCTTGTTTTGCTGCCATAGGCTTAGAAAGCTGGAAAAAAGATTATCATGTCCAAAAAAATTCTAGGAAATCTCATGTATTGACAAAATTTACACATTACATTATTATTTTTAAAGTTTTTAGCAGCTACTACTGTTCTTGGTAGACTGAGTGGAAATCCATTGTCAGTGTCTCTGCCCATCAGCGGAAGTGGGGGAAAATGAATACATACAAACAAAAATCCCTAAAATGATAAAATGCACTATGATAATTGTGACATTTGTTTATTAAAAAAAAAAAAAACAGCCAAAATGAAGGTCAAAGCTGATAAACTCGTAGATAAACATTATTTGTTTCTTGATGCATGGTGTTTTTGAATCTGTCCACATGATCTGACTTAACTTTGTTAGATTATTTGTTTCAGTTTATCTTCATTTCATTAGAAGAAACTAAAACAATTATAAATGAACTTAACAAATTCTTGAGAAAATGATGTAAACGACTGCAGCAGATCCACAAGAGTAAAAAAACGACGATTTCTCATGGGACTGAACTGTTTTTCTAAACTGGAACTGAGACCATTTTGGTCAAAATTAGCAGAAAGAGAACACAGGTTAGCATGCTAAGGCTCATCAAAGATCAAAAAGAAATAGTAGAAAGGTGGAAGAAGATGTTGAAGACACATGCTAATGAGAGGGCAGAGTGAATATGTGCCATACTGACCGAAGAAGACATAAGTGTTTGCATTTGCTTTAAGAATCCCTATGAAGAAAATTTGAAAACAGACTAAGTGCAAGCTTCTCTGTTGTCTCGGTCAGAAGGAAGTCTCGTTCCCCTAAAGGTTTCTTTAAACATTCATTTAGTGCATGCTATTATTTTTCAGAATCAGATCGAGATGAGTTGTTTCTTGCCATTAATAATGTTCCAGGATAAGATAAGCATTTGTAAGTTTAACATAACTTTAACTTTAACAAAAGTTTCAGATAAGCATTTGTCTGCTTTCTGCCTGACAATCCCCGATGCAGATGGCAGCCATTCATCAGTCAGAGCACCTTAGATCAAGTTAAAGACAGCAAGTATCGCTACAATGACCAGAAGTGGGGGACACGCCCCTTTACCTGACTGCTGTGATGCCAGGTAATATATTATCTCAGTGTGTTTATGTAGCTTCTCTGTGCCCCTTGACCATTTTAATAAATCACATTCATTCTGTCATGGTGTCCCGTTACACTCTGCTTGGATCAGTACCTGTATCTGGGCGCTTCCATAATATCATCTTACATGCTATGTTTTGTACTAAATGAGTGTGTTGCTGTGGAACACATGGTTGGCTAAGCTCTATTGCTTGTACCAAGAAATACTGCCTATCGATATGTATTGTCTGCTAAATGCAATACTGAATTTTAATAAACAAGCTCCATTTTAATATTTTGTTATTGTCATAGGAACCATGGGCCAGGTTTGTTGTGAAATGGCTGCACCAGGAGGAGCTATATCTAATTACTGCTCCGGTGCTACAGACGAGCTGCAACTTCGCCTTTCTGGGAATCCTTAATTAATATTGCTTGACTTTTTGCCCTTTTATGTCAAAAGACAATGTTGTGTCGCAAACAGACATCAAACAGGCCCCATTGTACAGGCCTCATCTTTGACCTGGTCAGATTTAAGCTGTGAGTCTGAATAAAACCTTTTTTTTTGGTGTTTAGTGCAACACAAATGTGATGCTGAGATTTTTTTAATGTGAGTACTCCTCAACTTCCCCTTAGACAGGAGGTTGAGGAACATTAAGTGTAGAACCACTAGACTAAAATGAGGAACAACTTCTACCCTGAAGCTGTTAGACTCATAAATCTCTAATCAGGATTATCACTGTGAAAAAAAATCACTGGGATGCCACTTGATTGTTGATATTTGCTGCTGATTTATTCATGGTGCTGTATTCATTCGTACTCATCTGCTCACAAAGACTCATGTTCGTGCTGCTGTTGTTCAGCGTATTGTTTTGTACTATTAGTGCTCAGTGTATTCTTAGTTTAGCGTATTTCTTAGTTCATATCTTAGATCTGTTAGATACTGTTTTTCTTTTACAGTCTATACTTTGTTGGATGTAACTGGGACCCTGTGTATACAATTTTGTTCCATCACATGCACCACATATGAATGACATTAAAGAAACCTTTGTACGCAATGAATGACATTTTCTGTTGTAAAATAAACCTGTGTCTTTTTGGGGTCAACGAAGACACTGATTTTTAAAGACAAACATTGCCTTAGGTGAAACTCCCAGGTCCCAGGGTGGTGGTGGTGGTTTCATCTCCTTAATTAATTCAACCTTTATTTATACAGGTTAGTCCCATTGAGTCACGGGGACTCATTGACAAGAGAGACCTGAAAATACTGAATGGTTCTGGTAACTCAACCCAATCCTTTTTTCTGCTACTGTTAAGGCTGGCTAGTTGGTGCCCACCTTCATTCACCCTGGCTTCATTCACCCTGCTGCATTACCTGCCCTGTTTTCTCTTGGTCACCACTTGAGGGTAGTCTTACATTATCCCTAAACTTTAGTGGTTGCTTTTTGCACAAATATCATCTTACATGGCAATTTTTTAATAAAAATAGAATGGCAACTGAGACAAAATGTGGGATGACGAAATAGGAATTAAAGGAAACCACCCTTTATGTATTTTCTTTAGAGTATTTGAAAACCAAAGAGTCTTGTGTTCAAATGGTATTTGTCACATATCATTTTGGTTTGTTTGTTTTTCTTTTTGTCCTACAAATGACAGTAAATTGCTCAAACACCTCAAAATTATCACATGGTGTAACATCTATCCATTATCTTTACTCGCTTTTTCTGTTTCAGGGGCCCATATCCAGAAGTCACAGTTCAAGAGGTGGGAGGAAATCCCCGTGGACTATGATGTTTGTAGATGACATTTTGATGTGTGATGAGAACAGGGAACAGGTGTAATAGAACTTGGAGAGGTGGAGGTATGCACTTGAAAGAAGAGGAATGACAGCCAGTCGAGGTCACAAAGGTGCAGGACTTCAAGTACTTGGGGTTCAGTGTCCAGGAAAATGGGGAGTGTGGTAAAGAGGTGAAAAAGAGTGTCCAAGCAGGATGGAGTGGATGGAGAAAAGTTTCAGGAGTTATTTGTGACAGAAGGTGTCAGCAAATGTCAAAAGAAAAGTTTACAAGACAATGGTGAGACCAGTTATGTTGTATGGTCTGGAGACAGTGGCATTGACAAAAAGACAGAAGAAAGAACTGGAAGTGGCAGAAATGAAAATGTTGAGGTTCTCCTTAATGCTCCCACAGACTCGAGTGTTCTTCAGTCCGTGGAGGTCCGGGCATACCAGATTAGACTCGAAGCAGATGCCTGCAAGGCATGTCCGCTCAAAGATAAATTTTTACGACCGTGTACTCGTGTCGCACAATAAACTGCCCGGCAACGGACTGTTTTGTATGTGACACCAAAGTTTTTTCATTCATTCAACCTTTATTTAGACAGGTAAATCCCACTGAGCCTCGAAGACTCATTTACAAGAGAGACCTGATTTGAACAAAGAATGATGACAACAATGCACAACAGTGACAACAATAAACAGTTATAAAAAGTCATACAGAATTTTTTTTTTTTACAAATAGGATGGCTAAAAAAAGAAAAGTAACAAAAAATAACTAGATTCTAAGGCAAATGTAGAAAACTAAAAACAGGAACATGTCTGCATTGGTCCCTGCCAGGAGTCCAACAGATTCTTAAAGCCACTTAGGTCGTTTTCACACCTGATAGTCCGGTAGACTCGGTTCGGGACCAATATTCATAACATTTTGTTTACATTTGAGCTGCTGAGTTTGCATTCACACTGCACTGTGCAGTCGAGCCAACCTGTTGAACCAACCTGTTCCCCCGCTCGCCTGTGGGGGCGCTGCACTAAGAACTACTGAAAGAAACGACACAAAAACCTCTGAAGACACTTCTTCTTCTGTAAATAAAAACAAAAACGAAGTGACATCAAGTTTTAGCAGTTTTAAGTCATTTTGTCATTTTTCAAAAATTGACTTAGCATGAGCAGAAGATGAGACAGAAGACCATGGAGAATATTGTTTTTCACACAAGGCAGCTGACGGCTCCATATAAGATCAGAGAAATGCGTGTTTGTTTACCCTGTGGAGCGGGGCTCGGTCTGTTTACATTCACCCTGTACTCGAACCGTGCTGGAGTTCGCTTCTACCGGACCGAGACCTAGGTTTTAGCCTGGGCCAGAGTTCGCCTTTTTGTTCCGTGACATAGTTTGATGGCGCGTTCACACCTCCCTAAACGAACCGGACTTTCTAGAAAAACGAGCTAGAGTTTGATTAAGCGGACTAAACAGGGCTGGTGTGAATGCACCCTTAGAGAGGTCAAGGTCGAGAGCTTCAAATCTTTTTGTAAGATATTCCATAATGTATTAAATTCCCCTTCTTCATCCCTGATCGGTTTAATGGCCTTTTTCTTCTTTTTTTTTTTTTTTGCCAAGAGGCAAGCAATCTCTTCCTCCTCGTCCGTTAATGACATAACTGAAATTGTGAGAAATGAAGGAATTTGTCATGAGAGAATTAATTTCAGGCCCAGTGTAGCTGCCGGAGGGTCTGGAGATTTCCCGATGGTCCGGTCTGATGTGTAGGCTTCAGGGCCAGTGCTCCCTGTATTTTTTTTTTAGAACTTTTTATTAACAACATATAAACACAGAACATCACTGCCGCTTGCTGCCTGCTCTCGTTATTTTTTTTTGCGATTTGTCAATCACTCCAGTAGGCATGTCAGCAAATGACCAGTTGACAAACTCAATTTGTCCTGAAGGTAAACGCCCCTTGCCTGCGGAGCTGGGCTGCAGCTGGTCAGGGTGTACACTTGAGTATTAAGTCTCAACCATCTGCGAACAGTGCGTGCAGTTTACACATGGCTCACAGTCCGCCCGAGTCTGTGGGAGCCTTTAGGAATAACAAGGATGGATAAGATTAGGAATGAGATCATTAGAGGTACAGCACAGGTTGAACAACTGGGAGATAAAGATAGAGAGGCCAGACTAAGATGGTTTGGACATGTCCAGAGGAGGGACGGTGTGTATATTGGTAGAAGGATGTTAGAAATGCAGCTGCCAGGAAAAAGACAAAGAGGAAGGCCAAAGAGAAGATATATGGATGCAGTTAGAGAGGACATGGAGGCAGTAGGAGTGAGATGGAGAAGGATGACTCGCTGTGGCAACTCCTGAAGAGGGAAAAGCCAAAAGAATAAGAACTATTTGAGAGGCAGGGGACACCCAGGACAGGTCGCTCCCTCATCACAGGGACACAATGCCTAAATTCACTTATGCCCCTTCTCCATAGTGATGGCTTGGAACAGTTTGACTCGGCTCAGCTCGGTTCAGCTCGATACATGTTGCTTTTCCTTATGCACTTCAGTACAACTTCTAGTGGGTGTGTTCAGAATCCAACCCCCGGTAGTGCTCTATTAAGTTATTTACTACCCACCACTGAACGTATTAGAAGAAGAAGACCCTGAAAAGATACACAACAAAACTGGAGGAGCTCGTAACTTTGTTGAACATTCTGCTCAGTCTGTGGCTTTTTGTCTAACGTCAAAGAGAAGAGACCCAGAAAAGGCTGCGGGCAGTGAGGCAAAAGACTCTGGAGAAGAACAGGAGAGTGTGGGAAGCCATAAAGATGCAAGTTATACAACGTGTGAGGGTAAGCTAATGCTAAACTGCTATAGGGAGCTGAGTGTAAAGCATGTACCGGTAAATGTCGATTAAATACGGTTTAGCCTTCATGCTGTGTGTGGGTTTCAGATGATTCTCCAGCAAAATAATCACAGCAGACCTACAGTCTGTTTACATCCAGCTCTGGAGCGACAGCTTCAGATGTCTGAAGAAGAAAGTGGCTGTTACCTTCCCTGCCCAAAACCATCAATGTATCATTTCAGTATAGATGTTGACAATAAAGATGTATTAAAAATATCTTGCCTTTTGTTATGACATTTTACATTTGTTACTACCAAACACTGTAGATGGATGGATGGATGGATGGATGGATGGATGGATGGATGGATGGAT